GCTTTTACAGTGGATTTCTCAGTAGTCATGTGAAACCAAAACAATTGATGGGCTGAGCTGAACTTGGAATCACATGTGCATTTCTCTGATTTTGAAAAGAAAAAAAGTCTACCTCAGTGTTAGGAAAAAGATTTATTGATTAAAGTTGCTCGAATGTGGCCCAGCCTCTGTGAGTGTCGTGGTCCTGCTCTCTAAAACCACTGGCTGGGTCTCCAAGAAAACCCTGTAAGATGGATTTTAGAACCTGATTGTATGGCCTAAAATGAGTTGCTGCACACTTTCTTCTCACTAACACCTGGCCCTGCCTCTACTTGCTATTTACTCCAAAACTTAGCCCTGAGGTGTCATGAAATATGTCCTTGGAGTAATTAACCAAGTCCTAAAACTGCAGTCCAGCCAGGCCATTCCCTGTTAAGGAAGAACAACTCAATTCAGTGGATTTAAGGGCTAGATTCTTACTTCAGGAGCCAAATATAGATCAGTAGTGGCAGTAGTTCACTGTGGGAAATGTATAAACAAATGGGAAGCAAAACTCACATGCCAGTTTTGGATCCCCCGATCGTGTTCGTTTATGCTCCTTTCTTCCGTGCTTAGTATGTAGTCAAATACAGAGCTAAAATGAGGCATTTATTATTATTATTTGTTATTCTCATTAAGAATTTGCCCAAATACCTCTTTTTAAAGAGGCTGACTAGTGCTTCTGCCCAAGGCAGGCAGATGTAGAGCCACCGATCACTCTGCTCTTGTCTACAGCTTGTTGCAAACACGGAACAAAATGGCTTAAATTGTTGGGACTTGAGAAATGATATCTTTGAGCTCTGACCCTTCATAACTGAATCCAGACACTAAATGTCTCTGCTTCCACATATTTTATATAAAGCACCTGACACAGCAGCAACAAATAACATGGGAATAAATCCAACTGCCTGCAACAGTTCACCTTCATTAGCCAAGCCAAAGGTCACCTTGCTGGTGTCACCAGCAGCCACTACCAGGGCCATTGTCCACTCTGGATCTTAATGAAGAGATCATGCAATGGAAGGGAAGGTGGGGATTTAGGCTGAAAGGCTCCCAATGCCTCTATGAGGCTTTTTGTACCCCACAGTCACAGTGACATTCTAAACCTCTATGTGCTGCTTTGGAAATTTAGCACAACCCTGAAGTCCTGGGCTTGAGCCCCAGGTGCTGACATGCTAAAGCACAGCAGATCCACTGAAGTCCTGCCATCTCCTCCTTTTTCTTAAGAGCTGCTTAAAATAAGCCCATTAGCCCAAAGTTATCAGCAGCACAGAGCTGCTAACTCAGGAGTCACTTCAGCTCCAAGGGAAAGGGTAAGAGCATGTTTTTAATTACGAGCAAGCCCATGGATGTTGCAGTGGATAGAGGCACTCGCCCCCTCCCAACTCCAGGCACAAATACTCCATTCCCCAAATTACTGCTGACTGGCCTGGATTGGGTTTTATTGCAGACAAGCAAGCCAATTCTTTGAGGGTGAGGTTAATTCAAGCAGCCCCATATAGAGCTTTACCCTGCAAATGGTTAAATGCTTAACCAAGCCTGCAAAAACTAGTCAAGTGCAAAGCTGCTTTCCTAAGGGTTTGTGAGCCCCCTTTTCTCCCCCAGTTTCTCCAGTATTTTTCAGTGGTGGAAAAAATGGGAAGTTGATGAACCTGCCAATGGCTTGTCCTGTTTTCCTTTTAAACATAAAGCTCAAGCTGTTTAAGATTGTGCTGTCTTCATTTACAGAATTAATTCATACATTAGGATTCTATTAATTGCAGAAAACAGCAGATTTATCCCAAAGTGGCAAAGCTTACAATATCAATAAATAAATTTCAAAATATTAACATTTAAAAGAGTGCTCCAGTTGCCTGGTCAGCAAACAGGGCCTTAGAAAACCCATGTGCGCACTAGGAAACCAATCAGTGCATTAAACATATTATCTAAAACTCCTGGTCTTTCTTAGCTTAGGAATACAAATTTCACAGTATTAAGCAGGAAAAAGGAATGGATATTTTTATTTAAAACAGAGTACCAAAAAGTGGCCATAATAAACCATTTGTGTTGCTTTTGTACTTGGGTAATGAATGACTGCAGTATAAAGTGCTCCTAGTTTTTGCCTCGAGGTCTTGTCAATCATTACCTGATAAATAAAAACTTCAAACAGGCTCCTTTTAACTTAATTGGGCAAAATTTCTGTCCGAAGGAAGGGCTGAATACAGAGAATAATGTGTTTGTGGCAGCAATGGAAGTCAGCAAGCAGGGTATTTGGATGGGAGCATAGAGGAGATGCAAATTCTGAACTCAAAAGAGGAGTCTTTGGGGGTTTTTATCAGTTCCCATTGCAGGCAGAGCTGAAAGGACTGAATCCAGCAGCAGAGGAAATCCCCCAGCCCTTGGCCTTGCTGCTGAACTGCGCTTGCCCAAGTTCTGCTCTCCCTCTCTGGTTTTAGGCTTTACAGCTGACACTTCCATAACAATCAAAAATCTTAAAATTACACTAAGGCTTATTTAAATCATTATTTTTTATTATATGAACACTGGCAGCAATGGAGGCAGTTTCCTGCATGGGGACAAAAGGATTCTATTGTCAGTGCTGGAACAGATCTGAAACAGCTCAATTAAGCAAACATAACATCCTCAAAGTCTGGCCTGAAAGGAAGTTAAAATAACTGATCTATAAAATGTTTTAAATGTGCTTTAAAATGTCATTACTGAGATAAATTTAGCTGTTTTGAAGCTCGTTCACTAGGGTTTTATGGCCCTGCCAGTTTATGACAGCGTATGTATTGATGTCAAGAATTCCTCTTCCAGAACAGTAGATGAGGAGACAAAGCCATGGGAGTGCTGCAGACCAAGGGGAGGCTGAGCCGGCTCGGGAACAGAGTTCTGGCTCCCAGGCTGGGAAAGCTGCCCCAAAGCACATCCAGCAAGCTGTGTGTATTTGTGGCAGAGCTGGAAACCAACTGATATTTCACGATATAAGGCTGGATGTGTTGAAGTTAGTGGTAAAGCTGCTGTTGGCTGCAAGACTGGCCCTGCAAAGCAGCATGATTGATTTATTTCATTTTTCCTCCCCTTTCTGGCACTACCCTTGACTTACACCAGATCTAAATGCAGAGAATTGGGACCATAATGAGAAATACTGGAGGATCCTTTTTCTAACATTAGTCCAGGCCTACAGAAGCCAAGTAGATATTGGTTTAGCTCAGTAAAGGTCTTTCCACTGATGGTTTGCTGGACTTCCTAGCAGTGTGCAAAGCAAATTTTCTTATGAATTTGTAATTGCTTGTGGAAGATGGCAAATTAACTCCAAAATGCTGATGATTTAATCCTCTGGCTCAGCAAATACATGTACATAAACTGGCACTACTCTGCTCACAGCTCAAAGTAAACAAGTATCCCAAAATTGCTGTTATGCCCCGAAGATATAAAGTTTAGTTAATAAGAGGGATTTAGACCATTATTTTTTTCAGCTGCCTCCATAGCAATGCAGTGTGGTATCCACAGTAGGAAACCTCATGCCAGCAGCATCTCTGAAATATGCTAAAACAATCTAAATTAGAAAATGTCAGCTTCTTGGCTGATGTTTCTTTGGAGTTTCTTTCTTCCTTTCTTGTGCCTCTATAATTTTATTGGGATGACTAAATCTCTGAACTATGTTAGCAGTAAACAGAACTAATTTACCCCCTGCTTCTTTGAAACAGCTGCTGACAGCTGCACTATAATTCAATCATGGATCTTTGCAGTGCAGACTGCAAAACACATTCATATTTTTTGTATTCTTCCCTCCCTGTTGTATTTGGACCAAAGGAGTTGCACCAAATAGCAACATGTGCTGGTTTTGCCCGTACATAGAGATTGAGCTACGTGAAAACAGAGGCTCAAGATGAAATATTGTCCAGCCAAAAAGTTCTTTGAATATCAGGAGAATAACCACACAGATACACAATGTCGTCGGGATATCTTTTGTAAAGTTGCAATGATTTATTTTACTAGTTTGTACAAAAAGGCTTCTGACAACTGCTCTATGAAAAGAACCAGAAATGTGTATGCATTTTTACCGACTGTTAATAAATATCTTCTTAAATAAGGAAACAAATGTGTTTAGGAACCGAGAATCATTTTTCCTGGATGTGATTGAAAAAGGAATTCAGAGATGGAAATAAATAATTCTTCTTCCGCTTGTGACAACTATTTACATAAAAATGTACAAACAGTGAAGCTGATGTTGAGCCTAGCAACAGAAATCCTGTTATTATGTTTAAAAACAATAACAAAAAAACCCAAAACAGAAACAATCCCCACATAATATTTAATATATGAATCCTATACAGCAAGATACCGTGGTCCAAGTTAAAAATGCAATACACCAACTCAGTGACCACCAACACTGAAACACCCGCAAGAAAAAACTAATCCTTGACTACTAAATAGTGGAAGCTTAGGCACAATCAGCTTTTTAACTTTTCTAGGCAGCACCTTCACTTCCTTCAGGAGGTTTAAGAAGCACTGGTGTATATACGTATACAATGTCAAAAGACGCTTTCCATCTGTGTGATTTCAGTTCTTCAGTTTAAATAAGTGATGCACAGAGGGCAGTTTTGGCTGTTTATCATGGATGGTCCTGTCTGCAGGCTCCAGGAGAGATGGTATTTTGGCTTCAGCTGTTGTCCTGCCGTGGGGCTGGCTGTAACTGTTTGGCCAAAGTCTCACCTTGGGGTAGTTTACAGGAGTCCTGCCAGTGGAACGTGGCTGGTGCAGCCAGGCTGGTCCTGCAGATGTTTGAGCTGCCTGGGTTGGGTGCCAGGCACATCTGGCAACGTGGCAACTGCTCACCAAGGCCCCGCTCTAAAACTTATGTCGTGGATGGACTTCCACTTTCCCATCAGCCTGACCCTGCTACCAAGAAAACTGCTGGGAAAACACCAATTGACTTAGATGATATTGGGATTAGACCATAAAAAACAAGTTTCCAATTTATTTCATAGACAGTAGGGTTGTTTTTTTTAGTTTCTTTGCTTATTCTTTTTAAAGTGAGGCATCTGGTCTGGATTTGATCTGTGACTTAAAGGGAGAAGAGCAGTGAGTGATGTCCAGAATGGGGTGGTTGTGTTCATTTATCTTCTTTCTCTAACGCTCCTCTAAGGCAATATATGGAGCCAAGTCCCCACTGCGGCTGTATGGCTGAACAGAGACACCAATCTCCAGGGATTTATTATGTTCTGGACCCATCTGTTGGAGGTTTAGGTTTTTGCAGTTTGGAGATTTAGAGCTGGGTGTACTGTAGACCTGTTGTTTTATTGGGCAGAATTTTCTTTTTATCCCCGTGGCGAAATTTCTGCCAATCCTACTTTGGTAATCCCAGCACATGCCAAAGTGGGGAATTGGTTTGTGATTGGTTGCTGCAACTTTGTATTCTTCTTTGCAACAACTTTAATAGAGTTTTAATTACTTAAGTGTGATGTTTGTGTAACCTGTGACTTTAAAAGAAGGAAAAAGAAAAGCCTCGAGGGGACATTTTCTTGCTTCTGGTTTCTGCTTCTTGGGGGTTCTTGAAAGAGATTTTTTTGGTGGTTTTTTTTGAGGTTAAGCCAACACAGCAGAGGGTTTATCAGAAGCACTGACCCTGGGAAGGAGGGTTGTTTCCACCTTGTTTCTATTCTGTGTGGTACTGAGTGTATGCCCCAGCTTGCAGCACCTTCTGCACTTGAGCCTCCATGTTCTCCAAAAAGAGTTGGAACTTGTTCCCTCAGTGAAGTCAGTGGACATTTTCCAAACAGCAGTGGGATCTTTAGCTGGAGTACACAGCTCCATGACTGCTTTGGATACCCCAGCTAAAAGTTAGGTTTAATCCCTGTTTCTCAGCATTTTGCTGTTCCTGTTTCAAATTCATAGCAAGTTCAAATACTTTCTGCTTGCAAGAGGAAGTTTCCTTCCTTGTTAATAAAGTATACCCTAGAAGTCTTGCTCTTTGGAATTATTTTCTTCAGTTCTTCTGCTTGACAATTAATTATTTTTTTCTTAGCCTGATCTGTGCTTTGAATTTGTGTCAATCCACATCCAGCTTTTGCTACTGTTTTTTAAAACTGGAAGTTGCTTGTAATTATCTTTGGTTTTGCACATGAAATTGAAGCAGAGGGATGGAAGTAATAATTCTCTAACAAAATACCTGTTCACTCCAGGTATATTTTGTTTACTTATTTTATTGCAAACTGTGTTACAGGAACTACACACACTTATTAGTCACAGCACAGTCTCACCTTGGATAGATTATTACTGTTTAACTCACAATCAACACTGGTGAGTTTGCAATCTCCAGAAAGACTCATTTGCAAAAGTATGTATTGTGGGAGCCAATTTTGTAGGCAGATTAGTTTTTAAACAGTTTCTCTGGCTTGTTTCAGTTTACAAGCTCATTGTCTGCAATAAACTAAAACAAAATGTGTTCAAATGCCACTTTAGATCCAGAAACTGTTCCATTGTCTGAACTTTCAGAGGCCTGGTCCTAAAAACTGTTCGGGATTTTTTTAAACCCGTGGCTGGAGCGCTAAAATTTTCCCCTCCCCCACATAGCCATACAAACCCACTCTTTACAAATAACTTTGTTCTTTCTTCTTTTTCTTTCCTACAAATCTAATGACAGCCACATGCTCGTACCACCATGTTCCTGTATTTTTTTAAGATAACATTGGAGCTATCATCAAAATAGAGCACTGAGATGGCATTGAGTTGTGTAGGAGCACAGCAGGGTTTCGGCACAGTCTCTGGGTTTATAAAGTGAACCTGGGGAATGAAAGTAGAGGCATGTTAAGATTTACTTCTCCCCCCCTCCTCTCCCATGTTTTTCTTTCCCAGGAAACCTTCTGTCTGTCCCACCCCCTCACTCGGACATGTTTGGAACACCTGGCTTTGTGTACAAACATCCTGAGATGTCCCCTGCGTGTGCGGAGGCTGACGCACGCACCCAAGGCTGATCTAGCTGGAAGTCTTTCAGTGAGGCAGGTTTTCATTAGAAAACTCCCATTTGTCAGAGCAGTCAGTTCTGCAGTGGGTACCAGTTACGATAAACTCTGTGGGATGTGTGGGCGAGGTTTTGTTAACTGTCCTCTCAGCCCTGGGCCAGGGACCCTGTCCCTGTGCCCAGCAGCACCAACACCCAGCCAAGGAGGGCCAAGGGATCCAGGTCCCCTGAAGCTGTGGGACCTCCAAGGAGAAGGCAGGGAAAAGACAAATAAAAGCAGTCTACCAGGAGAAAAACATGCAGATATTTCATCCCTTGGAAACAGTTGCTTCTAGTTTCCCTGACGTTTTTTGCAATGTTGTCTTTAGATGTGCACAGGACATGGGATATAGATGAGAAGGTGCAGTGAGCCTCCTTGAGCCCTGCAGATGTGTGCAGAGCTCCTGGAGCCCAGCTGGGTAGGGGAGGGTGTCCAGGCAGGCAAGTCAGCTGGGGGTGCAGTGGCTTTGGTGACACAGCTGATCTGGGTAGCCCCAGCCAACAGTCACCCTGAACACAGGTGCTGTGTCATGAGCTCAGGGCTCCCGTCTGGACAACTCTGCACAATTTCATAAAGTAAATACATGGCCCAGCTGCTCTGTGCATGTAACTTTGGGATTCACTGACCCCTTCCTCAGTAGGCCCCCAAATCTGCACTCAGTGGATCCTTACAGAGTTCTTCCAAGGGATGCTCATAGTGGATCTCACATCCTGCTCTTTCATTTCCATGCAGTGGAACTAAACCCCCATCAAGATGTCTATCATAGTGCCCTTTCAAACTAGAGAGAGCATGTCAATGCCTGCAGCAAAGACAGGGTAATTTCTTGCCAACTATTAATTCAGGCCACTTGGCCAGGCATGTTGAGCAGATGCTGCAGGCATCGTATGAGCTAATGCAGACCTTCCTTCTTAGGCCTTGGAGACTCTTTTGTGTATAAACCTCTTTCTGAACAGCACCTATCAGATATAACCCTGTACCAGGAGCTACAGTGCACCTACCAGTGTCTGTACAATGGCATGGTTTGTAGCATTCATGTATGAATTCAATGGGAAAGCACATTCTCCTTCACAGTAATAGGCAGCGTAGCCCTCCGGAGCGATGATCCAGTCCTTGAGTAAATTGAAGCCATTAGATTGTGGAGAAAGACAGAAATATTGTGCAGCAAAACAAAAAGCCAACCAGCACATAAATCTATCCATTCATACATCCACGTTTAGTTGCAGTGGCCTGCAAAATAAATATCTGGCACACTGGCCTTTTTAGTGCTCTCTTATAGCCCTCTAAAGCAGCTGCTTTTCCAGGAGGGACACATCCTACTTTGCAGATGTGCCCATATTGTAACTGAACATCCGGGTTTAGTTGTTTATCCATTCAACCGTGTCCTTGTGGCTGCCCACAAGGATCACTTCACCCAGCACCACAACACAGATACAAGCTTTCAGAAAGGAAGATGTTTTTAACCAGGTCTAAAAGAACAGGTAGCTGAAAAAGGAGAGCCTTCAGCAGTGCCAGGGCCACAGTTCCTCAAAAGGACCTAAGGGTGTTGAGTCCCCAGCTTAGCAGAAGCACTTCTTAAGCATGCTAAAGGCAATATACAATTTTTTCACCCCAAGAATTGTAAAAGAAATCCAGTTATTGGCTTGATCTCGCTATTGCAGCTGGATAAGTGACGTGCAAAGGCACTCCAGTGACACGCAGCCCTTACCTGCCACCCCAGGTCCCTGAAGCTGACGTAGAGCTCGTGCTTCTTGCAGGCCTGTCGCTGGTCACTGCTGCTGTTCTCTGCATGGGGAGAATGGGTGGCCATGAGCTGGCTGCCCCAGCACCCACAGCCCCCAGCAGGGAGTGAGGCATTGCTGCTCATCTCTTGCACATAGGGTGCCTTTTTTAACCATTTCAGTTCTAGTCCTAAAATAATGGTGGGGTTTAACACATATGAAATGCCCTTCTGGCTTCTTGTGCAAAGTCAGAAAAGATCTGGGAAAATAGCTTTTTTCTTTTTCCTTTTTTTCCCTTTTTTTTTCTGAACAACCATAACTCTTCATGCAGTTTTGAAACTGTGTGCCCATCTTGGACAACCTGAGCTGGAAACCCAAGCAAAAGTACCACAAAGAATGGCCTGAGCAGAGTTTTTTAATGGAAAGGCTTGTCAGGCGTTGGAACAGGATACCCAGGGATGTGGTGGAGTCACCATCCCTGGAGGAATTTGGCACTTAGTACCATGGTCTAGTTGTGAGGTGGTGATTGGTCAAAGGTTGGACTTGATAATCTTGGAGGTCTTTTCCAACCTTAGTGATTCTATAAAAATATGACTTCAACCCTTGTTGCTGGAAGCCGTATTTTCCTTTGCCTCCTGCCTCCTACAAGCTCTCCTTCCATTCAGTGAGGCTCTCACAGAAAAGGAGTTGGAATTTGCTGCTGCCTCTGCAGAGTGAGCCCTGTGCTGTGGCTCCTGCTGGGACCATCACCAAGGGCCTGTTACTCTGAGGTATCACATAGTTAAGCCACGTTTCTATTTCAAATGCCTGATGGAGTTTTCTTCCTTATTAGGAAGCAGAGCTCCCCCCAGAATAGCTGTGGTTATCCTGAGAATGAATGGGTTTTCCTCTTCCATGCAAGACTTTTGGGACTACTACATTATTTGGGGACTAAACTTAAAATCACAAACTCTGAAAATGGACAGCCTTTGGATTCAGACTCTCTGAAATATCATTTTGATCAATTACTCATTGCTTTAATGTAATTATCTTCTGTTTCAAAATGAGAATTTATTTCATGTTGGGAGCAAAGGAGTTTTTCTGGTTAGGTGCTTTTTTTTCCATTTGGATTAAGAAATCCCTCAATTTGACATTGCACCAAAGAAACATTTTTTTTCTAACTTTTTTGAAATAATCCCTAATCCCAAGCAGTTTCAAACCAACCACTGAACGCCAGTGGTGGACTAAAGAGACAACAAACAGACATAGTGGGAGAAACTATTCCCGCATTATCCCACACCCAGAAACACAGACCCAGCAACCCACAGTGTACCTGCAATGTTTGACACCCGGAAAGCTTCCTGGTTCTTTGGCGTTTTGGATCGGTTCTGGCTCCTCTGCTTCCCTCCCGTGGAGCGAATACTGCGGAGATGGACCTCGGTGGCTTTGAAGAAGGCGACGGTGAAGGGCTGCTTGTTCTGAGGGCCGTGCCTTCCGATGAGACCCGCCAGCTTGGGGTTGATGCTTTGCCCTTGGAGCAGAACAGACTGATAAGAGGGACTGCAGGAGCTTTTCCAGCATGATCAGGATGACAGGGAGGAGAGCTGCTGGCTGGTACGGGTGATTCCTCTGTGCACTGATCCACCAAGGACCTGGACTTAAACGGCAAAGCCGCTTCTGACAAGAGCAGCTCAGCACAGCTAAACTTCATTTTATATCTGCGTGTAAAAGTTACATAAAATAGCCCTACCTATAATTATTTTACCCTAAATCCGCTTAGCATTAACTTTTCCTGCATTCTTTAGAGGGGTTTCTTTAAGTTCACCAACCTATAATTTGAAGTGATCCTATAAAAGGAACCATAAAACTCAGCCCATAGGAACACTAAATTCCCACTGGAAGGTTATTAACTTAGAATAAAAATGGCTTGTATGGAATGCTGACAGAGTTCCAGATATACCTTAGTTGAAAAAAACAAATGTTTAGAGACATTTTGCTTATTGTTGCGTCTTGGCACTACCATATCTGGTTGCTTTGTTGCAAAACTGGTGGTTACCACCCATGTGTCCTTCATTTTGGGCTTTAAAATAATTTGATTTTTGGTAAAAGACAATTAGATGGTTTCTCTGTAGAATTAATTATTTACAAGAAAGGCAAGGAGAGGGTGGCAGTGGGAAATTTAACATTTCTCCCTGTTGCCTCCAAAGGATGTCTGGGTGCTGCTGTGAAATGCAGGAATGATATCCAGGATTATTCTGTTCCAACCTACTGAGTGCTGCAGCTAAGTCCAAGTTATGTTAATGGCTTTTGTGATCCTTTTCTAACAACAGAGCTGGGCCTTGTCAGCCACAAATCAAATGTGCCAAAGGACAGCTGACACTTTCCTGGAGAAGCCCTGCAAGGCAGCCTGGCTGGGGAAAGCAGGAAAGGGGCTCTCAGTTCAATAGCAGAAATATCCTTACTAGTTTCTGATTAATGTGTGAAAAGAAGCTGGTAGCCTAAAATATTTCTAGGTGATATTCTATAGCTGTTCTTTTTAAGATGAGTAAAGTAAATGCCAAGGCTTATAAATTATTGTCTTTATGGAATTGTTTCTGTCTTTGCTCTTGGACCTGTCCAAAAGATTGGTAAATATGACATACCCAGAAAAGGGGACTCTAGTCAAAGCTCAAGGCCAAGAATGGACTGGCCTTGATTGCAGTCCTTTTTATGTTTTTCTAAAACCATGAGGAAGTTCCAAGATCAGTAAATGGGATTTGTGGAGAGGGCTGGATCAAGAGGTGTTTAATAGGACCCTGGCAACAGGAAAACTGCTTGGCATGGCCAGGCCTCACAAACAAGATACAGCAAAACTAATCTGAGGACAGGGCAGCAGGAAAGCTTGGGTGAAAAGAGCAAAACTCATGGCAGCAGAGTTATATGTGGACACTCATCAACAGCTCCTTCACCTTCTGCTTAAGCTTCTTTCCAGAAACTTGTCCAAACAGTTTTCATTTTAAATATTTGTGGCTGAGCCCACAAAGTGCTTAAGCAAGCAGCCAATGTTAAATATATAAGCAGTTCCACTTGTGCTCAGGCTTTGCCAGATCTGAGCCTTATTGCCTGAAGACAAGCTCACCTGCAGGCATTAGAGCTCACTGAATGCTGCCCTTCAAATAAACCTTTCTGCTTCCCAAAGCTGTTTAAAGTAGCCCAGGGCTGTGGCTTTTCCAGTGTAAATTATTTTACCTTTCCCATGTCTCTGAATAGGGCAGCAGTATGCGTGAGGGCACCCAGCTTCATCCTGATGTTTAATGGATTTGCACTAGAGAAGCAATTTGACCAGTAAAATACCAGTGTAACACCAACACCTCACGTTCAAGGCCAGTATGGTGGCAGTGTTGCCTTAGGGGAAAAAGAGATAATGCTCTGTAGGTGAAGCAGCATATTTCTTTTTAATTGAGATGGGCAAAATGCTCTTTTTCTAACTTTTCTACCCACCCAGAGAGCAAGGTTAAACACAAGGAGATGTGTGTAATCACCATTAGACAATGAAAAACTTCTCCCACAAGAGCTAAAGCTGTGCTCATGAACCAGAGGGTATGGCTTCATCTGCTTTCCTGAAGGTGGTTTTTTAATACTGTCAAAAATGGGATCTAAAGTACCAAACCAAGTAAACCCAACCCATATGCTACTGCTGAGAGGGGCACTCTGGGTGCTGGGCTGAAGGCTACTGAGTCACTCAAGCATTTCTTCTGCTGGAGCTGTTCCCTGGTCTCAGGGATAAACAAAACCTCTTTGATTCTACCCTAATTATACACGTTGATAGACTTATTTGGCAAGATTATAAAGGAATACAAAGATCAGTTAAGTCAGCTTATTTTGTATCAGTTCATCTGGATAGTGCTTGTGATGTCAGATTTTTTTTAAAATAGGCTGTATTTGCTTCACGATTACAGAACTCTATATGTAGCAACAGTTACAAAGAAAAATTGGGTTTGGTTGTGTTTTGTTTTCCTAATTCACTTAAAGCCTTGGGGATTGCCCAAGCATATAGTGTTGCATCAAAATCCTGCTGTGTTTGCAGCATATGATTTTCATATGAAGTCCAGGTGTAAAAGCAGCTTTCTTGTTAGTGCACACAATTGGTCTAAATCCAAATGAAACTGGGGGAGCAAGGAAGGACATGTCCTTGCCATTCAAAATAGAAAGAAAAATTCATGTGTATGGAGGAGAAATGTGAGTGCAAGGATGTGCTGCCAGGGAAATTGGTTACAGAAGACAAGCAGACAATTGAGTCCTGTATCTCTGTATTTACTTACTAAACACTGCAGATGGATTTTCTAACTTTTATGACAGGCTGATTAAAGTATTTCGTTAATCTGTTTGGAGAAAGCAGCAGTTACTTTGCAAAAGGGTGCAATCAGAAATTCTAGGTTCAGTGATAAATGCATTCTCATCTGTTATTTGACTCAATGGAAATTAGAAATACAATTTCTTTTAGCACTCCTGAGAAGTCTGAGTTTGTATATGTCTTTGAAAGCTCTCTCTGTGACAGATCTGGCTCTATGCTTGTAAGGGTCCACTTCTAATTGCTCCAGCAGAGCAGAGTTACTGTAAGTGTGTGCAAACCTGCAGCATTTCCCTGGATGCAGGATCCTGAAAAGTCTCTGTTGAAATCAGTAATGCCTTTATAAATCAACTGCCTTTCTCCTTAATGCTGAAAAATGGGACTGACTTTTGCTGTAAAATCAGGAGGTGAGGATGAGGGAGGACAGAGAGATAAGAAGATTTTATCAGTAGGTGAGTGTGAGACTGCAGTATTCATAGTGCTTGGAGATACTCAGCCTACTTCCAGCTATCACTTTTCTGTGAACTCTGGCCTGGTTGTTGATGGACTTTCTATACTTGAATAATGATTGAATAAATGTGCAGTGATCATGGACACAACCTCTGTTCTCCCAGGTAGTTCATTCAGGAGGCAAACAGGAAACTAAAAACAAGGACAAGTGTTTAAAAATGGGTTAAATTTGGTTGTCAATTTGCTTTACTGTTCTAACTTTAGGAGTTAACTTGTACATCAGGTTGAATTTGACTCTTTATACAAAGATGTCTTTGGGGTGGGGACTACTAACTTCCATGATGAAGCTCCTTCTTTGTGTTTGGGTTTCTGCGTTCACTGATCACTCAGAAAGGGCAGGTTAAAACAAACCCTGTGCACTTCTCTGTGCAGGTCTCACATGAGTTAAATCACCCTTTCATGTAAATGACTGTAGGTTGCCTGTTTCGAAACTACTTTGCACAGCCTTAATGCAAAATGTTACTTACTGGAAATGTGCAGAGTGTTGGGAAAAAAACAAGAGCAAGTGATATCATAGATGCAGTGAGTAGAGAATGAAAGTACGTCCTTAGATAACTACAACCAGAATATTTATAATTTTGAGCTGGCTTTTGCTTAAGCATCCTGTGGGGCAACCAGGCAGTTCCAGATGGTCCCAGGTCCTGGGAACCCCCAAGAAGATATCCAGGATACTTTGGTTTCCTTGCACAAGTCTCCAAGTGAGCATCAGGGATCTTAACATTAAGACAAAGCAGCATGACTTTTTAGTTAAGATCTGTTAAGGAAAATTTCCCAGCTGATTCTAAACACATCCTTTCTGGAGATGTTTCAGAGCCAGGTCTTTCCACTCACTCCCAAACCTCAGAGATTTGTACCATACACTGCAGACCTTGGAGTCCAGACCATGCATGACTTTACCAGTAAGCTCTGCTGCCACAAAGGAGATTAAAATGGTTCCCAGCTGTCTTCTGAATTTGAAAGGCCTTCTGTGCCAACTGACAGCAGCCTTCTACATCACTCAGTTGTGTCTTCTTGCACATAGCAAAGTTTATTCCTCTCTCCTTGACTGGACTGCACTACCTGCAAATTAGCCAGCAGCATATTAATACCTTGATGGGGACGTGTACACAGCTAATACTGGAATTACTGCAGGCAGGTCACCAATCTGTTGTAGCATCTGAGTACATCTTTAACCTCAAGTATGTCTAGGGGCTATTTTTTTATTATAACTATTATTTCCACCTTAGGCAAAACCAGGAAAAAACACTCTTATGAAATCCTGTTCAAAGGAAAGAGTGATGAATGCCTAGGGCTTCCCCTGGCTGGGAATCAGGTACCTGAGACAGAGACTCACTGATTGCAGTTGGTGTCTGACACTCACCATCAACGCCTTCCACAGAGAGCTGCAGGCCGAGGTTGTGTTGGGGATTCACCACCCAGTGGTTGCTGGTTGCAGTAATGTCAAACACCAGCCACCCTTCCTCTGCAGCCCAGATCGTTCGAGAGTCGAGCAGGAACAAATCTGAATCCCTGAAACAAAAGAAGCATAGTTCCCATTCACCCAGGCTTTCCACTGGAGTCTCTATAAGCACCCACATACATGCTTTAGGCAGCATCTTGAGTCATCCTTTCAGTGACATCTTCCCCTCAGATAAAGCTTCTCCTCTCTTCAAAAAAGGGAGAATGGGTTGAAGCCGATTTGAGGTGGCTTTGGGTTACTTTGCTGTCCCAGTCAACCTTAGAGCTCCTGATGCAGCTTCAGAAAAAAGGCTTGCCAGGCACAGATCTGCAAAATTACTGTTTGCATATGTAAACCTGGTAATTGGGCAGACAATGCTGCTCATTAGCCTTTCCACACATAATTTCCTAACTTTTATGCATAATTGTAGCACTGGTGCAAGCCAGCTGGAACACTGGTGTGCATATATTAACATATGTAATGGGTTTTTTAATTTGTTCGTCTGAGGTTACAGATAACTGATTGAGACTCTGCTGCACTGCTGTGGGTCACAATTTTCTTTCAATTCATAGCTTTTTTTTTCCTAAAGGTCACTGTTCAGTTACTCCAGGTAAAGAACTAATACCAGAAAATAAGAAAGATCTACAATAGAGAGGATTCTGTGCATTTGAAGGGTGAAATCAATTTGGATTTACAAAACATTTCCTGGCAAATTTTTGAAAAATTAAAACTAGAAAAAGCACAGGTTCTGTAAGGGAAAGAATCTGCTATCAGAAATTAACAAAGAGATAAAACTTAGGTGAAAAAATGGGTAGTGGTACAGTTCATCAGTAAAAAAGACTTTACAAGAAGAACAAAGACACACAGTGGAAGTGTCTGGACAAGCCCTGTAAGAGCTGCTTTTGTACCTACAGCATACAAACATGGTAACTTGTTGAAGTGTAATTATATCCTTTTGAATGAAGAACTATCCTTGGAAAACCCTTTAATCATGTCCTCAAAGCTTAAAGAAATCCTTATGGGTTTTGCCACTATGGATTTGTCAGTGCAAATACATACACTTAGCTTAGTTTACACAGTGCCTCTTCTTTGCACGGAATATCAAGTGATCAGAAATGAATCTGAGAAGTGCTGTTGGCATAGAGGCATTTGAGTCACAGCTTTTAGTGATTCTTTTCCCTGTGAGATTCCACACAAAACAGAAATGGAGGGGGGTTTGTGATGCTTTTACCATCTAGCTTTGCTTTCAACCTTTGTGAGCTAGAGAATATAAGATGATGCATTTCCTCCATGAGATAATGGGTGTCACGGCCTCTGAGTCCTTGATGGCTTACATGAAATTAAATTTCTGAAATTGGTTCATGCAAAGCACGTGAACACATGGCCCAGGATGTCTAAGGGGAGGACTGAGTTTCCTCCCTAAAGCGGGATCCCTTCGGATACCACACGCCTGAATGTGCAGATACAGCCAGTGCTGCTCAGGGTGCAATTAGTGCTTTCTTTTAAGCAAAGTTTTGGGTTGTGGAAGAAGCCCTTCATCAGAATTGAATTTGCTGCAACACTTCCTTGCTACCACAAAGGGGACCCTGTGTTTGGGTAGCCAAGGTGGATGGCTCAGGAAGGGGTTGTGGTGCAGAGATGGAGAGACTCAGTGCAGGTGGTGGGAGCTGCTCTTCAAACCTCAGTCAGCTTTGCTGGGTGCCCTTAGGAAAACTGAAGTTAAATAATATGGATAATGCACTCTCTCCATAGACACATTAGTTAGAGGAGTGCAAGATGCTTGAACTTCAACAGGGGGGACAAATTTCCTGGGGTTTCATCCCCACCGAGAAGCAATGGCCCTGTTCCCGCAGAGCATTACACAGCCCTGTGGACACCTCCCACCCTTCCCTGTTTACAACACACTGAACAAAACACATCCCAGAGGAGCCAGGGATGAGGGAGTAGTACAGAATGGCCCGTTCCAATGGCTGAGGCCAAGTTTCCAGAAGTAAAGAGTTTTTATATTCATGTACTGCACTATTTAAGCATGGCCCCCAACTGGAAGTCATGATTCACACAAGGTTTAGTTCATAGGGACTTGGCTTGCTTGGTTTTTTCCTCCTTGTAGTTTGCAGGTTGATGATAGTAGCAATAATGATAATTTTTGGGGTTTTAGCTACTGCTCAACTGCAGTATTATTACTCAGAAAAACCAGCCTTTAAGCTTCCCATGCTGACATGATGCAATCAGGGTAACCAGACAACATGAGGCATCAAGTACCAGAGTGAGTCAGTCTGGGAAATTGTATAATGCATTTGTTTTCCTGTAGTTACAGCAATGTGCAAACAATAGGCCTGGAGGGGAAGCCCAAAGTGAGAGAGATCAAAGGGACCCACTGAAGGGAAATGTCCTTCCCACACACACACTTGGAGCGTTTGGACCCCAAAAAAGCCCCAGGTCAGATGCTCTTTGGAGAAGTTCAAGCACTCCTGGGTTACCACTTTCCTCTCTGGCCCACCAGCAGTGGTCAGGGATGGGATGCAAAACCTGACTGGTGTTGCAAGCAGAGGTTCCTGAGATTTTGACTCCTGTTCCAATGAAATGAAACCTCTTGTTCTTTTAAAAAGAACAGCTTCCCTTTAAGTGGAAAGCCCTGCTCTCCAAACACAGGGCAAAGAGCATTAAATCACCAGCTAATAGACAGCAAGCCCTTGAGATATCATTGTTGGACAAGACATGGTAAACAAAGCAAAGAAATGTTATTCTGCTTAGACTTAATATTTGCTCTGAGGGCTCACATCTAATGACTTGCCACAGGAGATAGTGCTAGTTAAGTCTAAGTAACGTGGCTGGTTTGGGTTTTAGCTTTGAGATAAAGATCTAAGCACAAAGAAAAAAAGTTTCTGGTGCACACCTCACTCTGGTATCTTACCTACCAACTGTACTCATAGAGCATTCTTGGAGCAATGTGAGTAATGGCTCTGCAACAAGGAGGCAGAAAAGCCCTTTGATTCCTTGGCCCTGCAGTCAGTTCTTTCATTTAAGAACTTCAGTGCATGTAAGAAACTGTACCGAGCCTTTTACCAGAGCAAGAGATAGGAAAGGCACATGATCCTCCTTTTACAGAAATTTAAGCTGGGACATGGAAATGTTAATATCTAGATTAGAGTTACACAAATTACAAAGTCTGGGTCCAGACCACAAGTATGTTTTGTTGAGACCACATCAAAATGGCTCAGCGTTCAAAGTAGTGACATCAGCGGGAGTGTCAGAGCTTTTAGCAATGATAAAACGCGGGGCTTTCAGCTCAGTTTTCTCAAGCATCAGGCTGTCAGTAGAGTCTGAGATGAGGACAGGAGGTTGGCACTTGTCTGCTAATGGCTTTGGTAGTGTCTGGCAGCAGATGCCAGAAAAGAGAGTCATCTCCCATTAGAAAGCACTCCCAAAAATTTGTCTACAGGTCATATAACTGCCATGTGGTCTGTGAAACTTCCTTAGTGAACTTGTTTTCTGGACCCAAGGGTGAGTAACAAGCATTGCAAAGTGAGGGTGGCTGGGCAGGATGCATGTGAGGTCGTGTCTGGAAAGCAGCTGGAGTTATAGAGGTGGAAGGGCTGGAGCTGCCAAAGGGCTATGGAGGGCTGGTGGCAGGAGTGCGATTAAGAAAAGAGATCACAGGTGGAAGGGAAAAGGACTGGAAGAAGCAGGGACTGTGGGGATGAGGGGAAAAATAAGGGAAGACAAAATACAGAAAAGAAGAGTAGAGTATGCTGAAAGGAAATAGTAAAGAAGAGTTACCGTGTTGCAACACAGTGAGATAAGAGATTAGCCACCATGAAGCTTCATGAAAATAGTACGTATGGGCTCTTTGCCTTTTGCTGGGGTACTTTTTCAGTCTCTAGGATGCTGTTTGGTTTGAAGCCATAAACACTATAAACGTATCCAGAGATAAGAAGTGCACCATCTCCCCTAATCACCTGCCTTGATGATTTGAGGCACAAGGAAAACATGCATTAGGAAGAAAGACCCAGTGAAAACATGAGAGTTGGCAATTATGCAATAGCAAGAGAACAGGAGATGAAACTGTATTTATAGGCTATAATGCTGTGAAGTCTACACTGCTTTAGGACAGTTCTCTTGCCAAACAGCCCCTGCTTTAGCGTCTGTTTTCTTCACTCACTTTCCCCATACCCCTCTCATCAGCCCTGTTATTTTAAGCTGCTGGTTGACAAGTGGTAGTAAATACTAATGACTGCTTCCAAGTGGGATAAAAATAAATGGGAAGAAGGACAGGCAGCAGCAGCAAATGCAACTCAGCAGTTTTCATGGCACTGCAATACAAGGTGATTTCTGTGACATGCCAGCACTCTGTGTTGGGAGCAGCTTTGGAGTCCTGGCTCACCTGGCCATGCCCTGGCAGCAGCCAGGCCAGGGCCACTGCCAGCAGGTGCTGCAGTCCCCTGCCCATGTCAGGTAATCCACCAGGCAAAGAGCACACTGAGGCTGCCCAGTAGCTGTGCTGCTCAAATCCCTGCTAGTTTGAGGAATTACAGATCTAACAGCGCTTTAAACAATAACCACACAGTAACATCTTGCAATACTTTGAACAGCTTTACGATTAGAGGGTCAACCTGCTTCTGTTTTAAAGTGGGAAACACTTGAGGCATAGGTATGTTGAATGTCTTATTGATTCAGCATGCAAAACACAGCCTCTAAGCCAGGAGCATAATCCTGTCCTCTTGCTGGGTATTCTAACCCTAGAGGGGCTGTTTGGGTCACAGGAATGGTGCAAGTTTTCCAACAGGCAGCCCAAGGACAGAGCTGGCATGGGGAGCTGGGCAATTTATGACCAGGTTTGAGCAGGTGGAGGGAGGAGAAGGCAGAGAGAGCATCCTGGGAGGGTTAGAAGACATCTGTTTGGATTAAAAACCTGCAGTATCCAGATTCCAGTTTGCTTGGTGTCATTGCTTAAAGTCAGCTGCAGCTGTACAAAGACAAGCTTAGGAAAATATTTTTCAGACTTTCCTACTTTGAGAGGGCCCCAGGATCTCCCTGGGCCTCTCCCTGGCACGTTTGCAACACCCTCTGT